GAAGTTCATGTCTAGATAAATTATTTCTAGATCGAGAGTAAACTATAGTATCGGATCATGTTCTTAAGGTACCAGGACAAAGAGTACCCTAGATATAACTCCAAGTCATACCCTCGATCTTGTTACAGAGAGTCTTTTCAACAAAATATATATACAAAAAAAAAAATTCAAACATCTTACAAGATCAGTTCTCGACTAGGATGCCATAGACCAACAATCCTGAAATAAATTTTTTTTTTAAAAACACGATACAACTATTGGCAATGCAGATGATCGAATTTAACTCAATTAAACTTTCAGTAATCCGTTAGACATAACAGTCTATTCTTTCAAAAACAACCGAACATCCAAGGAACGAGTATACTTGACCAGAAATGTTCCTAAAAGATTTTGTTACTCCTAAATTTAAACCCTTAAAGAAAGAGAACTCCCCAAAGACTGGTTTCATAATTAAAACATTTAACGTGATAACCCGGAATATGGTTCCATTATTTCCAAGTGGGACATCAGGTTATACAAAATACAAATATGCCTAGATAAAACTCAAAAGTAAACACTAGCAGAGTAGCAGTGGAATTTTGGTGGACCATAACCTATAACATATAATTTATATCTTAGAGTCGCGTCTAAGGCTACCACCTTGAGCCTCTGACAACCAAAGGTGTAACACCTACACTCGAAAATAATGAAATGACTAGAATAAAATTCAATTGTGTTTAAGAATACTACGTGATTCCATCAAAGTCAGATAAATTTTCAGCAATAACAATTATGGATTTCATACCTTCCTGCGTAAAGAACGCTAGGAAAAGCGAATCAATTGCCAAGAGATTTTAGGAATCATTTAAACTTCATGGAATTTGAAAGGCTAGTATGACTTAAACTAAGAGTAGATTACTTAGACATTAAGTCACTTGAGTAACGAAGGAGAGGTTTAGCTATTGAAACAATTATTTTCAAATTTATAAAGTAATACTCGAGATTCAGAAAATCTTACTACTAGTGGATTGTTATATATGAGCATGGAAACCAACTTTATTGTTTAGAACTCCAAGTCATTAGAATAAAATGCATGTCTTGGTGATAATTAAAGATTTCGTGGACTAGGGATCATAAAAAAATAATTTTTAAAATATTCATGCATTAATTTTTGAATGTCAGAAAGTAAGCAATTTTTATTGGACGTACGCACATAGGAAAAGATGTAAACATAACATGGCTTTGAGGTCACTTAACTAATTAAGAACTTAATCATGTGGTGAGAAGTAAATATAGTGTATGTTGCTAAGAGACTTTTCATGATGATAATCAAACAAAGGCATGATGCTCCCAAACAGTGGTTGGTAGTGGTGATAATTGCATATACTATTGCTATAAGATATTACGCTCTAATGAATTTTGAAGTTCGACATAATCTAGAATAGTAGTCTTTTGTGAAGATAAAACCTCCTTAGGTTCTAAAACCTCTAAGATTCAAAGGCCAATTCTTCGTGAATATATATCTTTATTTTTGGGAGATAAGAAGAGAGATACCCCAATTTAAAGTGATTCCACTATTAGAAATACCATGACAATTCTATTCCATAAAAGAAAGCATCTAAGAACCGAAAGAGTAATGAAAGACGAATATCCTCATTTGTTACAAGTTCCTGACAAGTTCAAATTTTAGAGATCAATTTTTTAAGGCGGGAGATTGTAACATCCTGTATAATTTGACATTTAAATTTTTGGGGTGTTTTATAAGAGTTTTTAAATAATTCAAGAGCCTCTGCAAATTTAAAAGGGCTTAGGGATTTGAATGAAAGAAAATTTCAAAATCCAGAAATTAATCCCTAAATAAAAAATCACCCCACTAAATTAGGGAGAGGGCACCTACTAAAGAAAAACCAGAGAGATGGAAAAGGAGCGACGGAAAGGGAGGAGAGTGAGAGCTAAGCAATCAACCAAACAGAATGCAGACGAGGGGATTGGAGGCGATTAGAGGGAGGAATTTCTCATAAAAAATTCGTTGAGATAGGAAGAATTCAAATGAGGACCACCGCTTCAACAGATACCAATTTGGAAGCAAGTGCAAGAAGAATTTGAGTTTTAAACAGTGAATTTGAAATTTGTGCTTTAATTTTTTGTTTCAAATAATGATTGGCGATGATTAAAGAAACTACAATGTGAGAAGGGATATTACCGAGGGATATGATAATTATAACTTGCGGTGTTGAGAGAATCCTTTTCATTCAACAACATTATTTCATGTATATCATTTCTTTTATTTACTATTTAGCCTCAAATGATACGTATGCCTGCATCCCCAAGTAAGACAAGAGTTCGAAATTTATATTTTAGAATACGTAAATGTAATAAATATACATTATGCTGACCAAAACGTATTATGTACAAAATTGAACAACGGGAAACATAGATTAAGACAAATAAATTGAAGTAGTTTAAAATAGAATAAGTAAATAGATAAGTACAATATAGCGACTAAAGAAATAGTTAACACAATTAAATAAGCATAGAATGACCGGTTATTGGCTTCATTGAAAACATGTACTTAGTTAATTAAAGAATCACCAATTATCTAAAATTTTTATTTATTATTAATTTAGCTTTAAGGGAAAATAGGTGAGGGATCCTTACTCTTAGTCGGTGTTTAGAACACTGTCTTTTTTACTACGATTCTCAACAGTTCCCGGTTCTTGGATTTCTTGAGTTTTTTTTGATAAGATTGAAAACGTACGTCAAATTGGCTTGAAAATATGTAAAGAACTATGAAAAAAAATCAAAAATCTCACCGGGGGTCGGGTTGGGGTTCCAATGTAGCGGTGCTGCCATGCTCCGCCGCCTGGTCCTCCAGCGGTTCTTCCTCTCGGTCAGACTAGTTTAGGCTGGTTCTTGGTAAAAAAAATGTTTAAATCGTGGTTCGAGGGTGTTTCTCGACGAAAAGAGGGGAAAAACAGGTGCTTACTAGCAATTTCGATGTTTTAGTGTGGCAGTTCAGTCGAGCTCTGCCATCCCTCCCTTGCAGTTTGCAGCTTTTCTCGGTCACCCTACATCGGAAACATGTTAGGCGGCTAAAGGGCGGAGAAATCGGAAGAACGGAAAGAAAATATGACTTATTGGAGTATTTTCAATCTTTGGAATGGTGGCACTGACGTCCTCCAGTGGCTGAGCTTCTCCTCTAGCTGCCTCTCTTCGTCTTCTCCGGCTTGGGTGTCGGCTAAGGTTAAGGTTTAACTGAAAAGAGATTTAAAAACCTCTCTTATAATATCCTAAGCCCAGAAATTAAGCTCGGGATGATATAAATTAATTTTAAAACTAATATTAAAAATATTTAATTTTAATTTTTCTAGAATTTTTTTGATATATATGCATTTTGGATACATTTGAAAATAATTTCAAACGGATTGGGCCAAAATAGAAATAAAGGAGGACCAAATTAAAAAAAAGTGGCCACGTAGGACGGCCATGTCAGCAGCACGGGCAGTCACCGTGCGCCGCGTAGTGGATACGACAGGACGCACTCCACGCGAGAAGCCACACGGGCAATCCGTGTGCCAAGCGATCCAACAGCCCGTGTTCACTCCTGCCATCACGAACGACCTAGATTTATTTTCTCATTAGGTGTGATCGGATGATCCACACACCTTTGATCGTACAACCTAGATCTTTTTTCCTTTTAGGTACAATCAAACGGCTAAGGAAGCACCATGCGGACCCAGATGGACAACTCAGATCGTGAGAAGGGGAGTATTTAAACTCCTCTTCCATCGAAACCCTAACCTTAACCCTAGCCACACAACTGCTCGTTGGAGAAGAAAAAGAAGAAGGGCGGCTAAAGGTGAAGCCAGCCACCATCGTTGCTGCACCGGAGACCTAAATCGACGCTGATAAGTGCAATTGTCTCCTGTTCGTCCCGTTTTTCCATTCTAAGCTACCCAAAACACTTCTTGATGTAGGAAAACGCGAGGAAAAGCCATAAATGGAGGGCGGAGCTCAGTTGAGCCACTGCACCCAAAACAAAAAAATGCTCATTTGAACCTGAAGTCCATTTCTATTACTTCCGTTTCTTGACCTTAGGCCATCTAACATGTTTTTCGGTACAGGGTAATCGAAGGAAAGCCGTGATTACGAGCAAGAAACAACAGAGGTTGGTGGAGCCATCACACCAGAAAGCCAGAACCATTAGTAAGCTTCGTTTTTATTCTTTTTTCCATAGACAGACACTGTCTAACCCCGAAATGAACAGGTTTTCACCCATAACTGGCCGAAACCGGCCTGACCGAGAGGAAGAGCCATCGTAGAAGGAGGAACTAACTGTAGAGCACGGCGGCACTGTTGCGCTGGAAGCCTAAACTGAACCCCGGTGAGAGTTTTTGCCCTTGTTGACATGTTTTGCGTATTTCTATGCTATTTTGACGTAAGTTTTGATTTTACTAGAAAAACCCAAGAAATCCAAGAACTGGGAAGCGTAATGAAAAAAGCGGTGTTCCAGATACTGACTCAAAGTAAGAATCCCTCACTCTTTTTTTATATTACAGTTAAATTGAAGTTGAACTGATAATAAATGAAAATTTTAGTTAATTGGTGGTCCTTTAATTAATTAGGTACAAGTGGCTAATGGAGCAAATAACCGGTCAGTCTATACCTATTTGACTTTTAATTGTAGTATTTATTTCTTTAGTCATTTATTATGTTTATCTCTTCACTGATCTGCTCACTTTAATTTATTCGTTTTACATCTATGACTAACGAAGTAAGGTTTATTAATCTATGTTGTTCGATTACCCTATTGTGCGTATAATACGTTTCTATCAGTATAATGCATGCTTATTTCTCGTACATACTCTAAAATATTAATTTCGTACTCATGTGTCGTTTAGAATACTGATATACGTGTTCTTTAGGGCTAAATATTAAGTAAAAGAGAGTATATGCATGAATTAATTGTGTCAAATAAAAGGGGTTTCCGGATGTTTTGGAAAAGAGTGTACAGACTTGATGCATAAGGTAAACCCTACCGTAGACGTTACTATCAATCAAACGAGACTGAAAAGTCCCAGATTGAAAGGGGTTGAGAATTGTTTTGATCACGCTCATACCAGACGGGTATTGAGGCGGTTGTATGTTTTGTCGTTCATTATCGGACGGGGTATGAGGACGACTGTTTGATTAATAGAATAAATGTTTGGTCCATATGTAGTGGGGATCCTTATGGACACCCAGGATTAGTTAAAATGATAAAAGTGAATAAGATAGGAACCCAGCTCTAGGAATAATGAAGGGTTACTTGTTGCATGTCTTTTGGAATGCATAATGTAGATTATTATTATAATTCATATTTTCATAAATGGCATTTAGGAACTTACAAATAAGTTAAGAAAATTATCGTTTTCAGTTGAAAGAGTTTTATTTAAAAATGAGCTCCATTGATTGATTTACAATTTCTATAAACCTTTAATTTTTTTATCAGTGGTAAAACGTTGATATTATTACTGAGGTAGTGTAGTTTATCCCTTTATTATTAATCATTTCATATCAAGATGATCAAGACTCGGATCATGAACAACAAGAAAACTACCTAGAAGTTTGCCTATATGTTTTCCTAGTTTCGAGCAGGGGTGGATCACATTAGTTTTTCTTATTACTCTTTTTCATTTATGTTCTTTAAGGGCATTCCCGTAACCCTATTGGGCATTTTAAGAAAACTGCATAATGAATATAACTCTAAACTCTAAACTACTTTCGCTAATTAATAAATTACAGTATTATTTTATTTTCTTATTTTTGAGCTTTTATAGTTGGTATCAGAGCCGCGTTCTTCGGAACCATTCCTTGCACATAGGGTTAGAGTAATTCAATGCAACTTGAATCTCAAATTTTTATTATGAAATGTAAGTAAAAAATCATGAGGAGAGGAAGACTCTCGCTAAATAGAGCATTCCGGGAGGGATCGCTTCGGGAGGATGTTGATCCACTCTTTAAGATGCTTGAGAGACTCATCTCTGCCCAGCAGATTAGGGAGGAGAGAAGAGAGTTGTCTGGTCTCCTTCCACCACCGATACAGTATGAGCCACCTCCACACCGAGAGGATTTAGTACGCCACGGTATAACCTTGCTCCTCCACAGTATCATGAAGCACCACCACAGTACAATCTAGTGCCTCCATTATACAACCAAGTGCCGCTAATAAGGCCAACCGGTTCCTCCCCAACATAATCCATTTCTCCTTCAACAGGATCTAGCTCCACCCATGATGGATCCGAGCTACATCGAGAGGTATAAGAGACTCAATCTATCTACTTTTGCAGGGGCATCCACTTTTGAAGAAGCTGAATACTAGTTAGAAAAGACAGAGAAGGCCTTTCCGACCATTGCAGTAGTTCCTGAACAGAAGATTGTTCTTGCCACTTATATGCTCGTAGGTGAGGCAGGACGTTGGTGACAATTGAAGCAGACTACTCTACCCACTCCAGTCACCTGTGAATAGTTTTTGATAGCCTTCGATGTTGAGTACCTTCCAGAACACTTATGACATCTAAAGGAGACATAATTTGCACACCTGGTTCAGGGAGATTTGTCGGTATTAGAATATGCTCGAAAATTCCTACAGTTAGGTCGGTACTCTCTTGAGAGCATGATAGACGAAGGTAGAAAGGCAATAAGGTTTGAGTGGGGTCTCTATTCTGATATCAGACAACAATTATATGTCTTCGAGCTTAACACTTATTCAGTTGTCTTGGCCAAGGCACAGTTAATAGAGATGAACCTTTGTATTTTTTTCCCAGTAGTGGGCAACTCCAGGCCGCCGGTTCTGCATTACAGGCCTACACCTACTGTACTGAACCAACAGAACAAGAGATCAAGGCCCGCAACTTAAGCTCCTTCCCAGACCCCGATAACAGGACACGTCAAGGTTTGTCAGCACTGTGGTAAGGATCATAGAGACCGATATTGCTATCGCCTCAACAACACCTATCGCATATGCGGGTGTGTCCAGCACTACGCGATAGAGTGTCCGCAGAATCAGAATCAGACCAGACTCGCAGTCTAGGGCAAGGTCTATACACTCACCCAATAGGATGCTGAAGCCAACCTAGATGTAATACATGATACGTATACTATCTGCAACCACCATGCATATGTTTTAATTGATATTGGTGCTTCACATTATTTTGTTTCACATGCTTTTACTAAAAATTTAAATGTGTTACCTGAGAGTCTTGATTATGTACTGTTTGTCTCTATACTTGGGAACGAGACATCACTGGAGAATGTTATGTATAAAGCTTGTATTATAGAAATACCAGGTGGGGAATTGATCGTAGATCTGATAACACTTGACACAGGAGATTTTGATGTAATTTTAGGAATGAACTGGTTAGCGACGTATCACGCTACTGTGGACTGTTTCCATAAGAAACTTGGATTCAACATTCCTAACGGAAAGTCTTTCACGAATTAATAAACTTTAGATATTGTTCTCATATAGTAACTGTATTGTTTATCAAATGCCTTTAACTTAGCTATTTTTTTCACGCTAGGCAAACCTAAAAAAGAGATGCATCCAAGATATTCTTGTTGTCCAAGATCTCCCAGACGTATTCCCTGACGAACTACCAAGAATGCCAGTAGATCGAGAAGTTGAATTTTCTATAGATCTTTAGCTTAGCACCCAACCCATCTTGGTTATCCCCATACCAAATGAGTCATGTCAAGATGAAAGAACTGAGGAAACAGATCAAGCAGTAGTAGGATAATGGGTTCATCAGTCATAGCATATCCCTTTAGAGTACGAGAGTCACGTTCGCAAGAAAATGTGATGGGTTTATGAGATTGTGTATTGACTACAGAGAACTGAACAATGTTACAATCAAGAACAAGTACCCCATCCCCAGAATTGATAATATTTTCGATCAATTACAAAGTGCTCAAATTTTCTGCAAGATCGACCTGAGATCGGGATACCATCAAGTGAAGATCAATGCATAAGACATTCCTAAGAAGGCCTTTATGGATTGACTAATGCATCTGCAACCTTTATGGATTTGATGAACGAGATTTTTAGGTTATTCTTGGATCAATTTGTCATAGTATTCATTGATGATATCCTAGTTTACTCTAAAAGTAGAAAGGAACACGTTCAACATCTTATTTAAGTCTTATAGATCCTCAGAAAAAATAAACTTTATATAAAGCTGAGTAATTGTGAGTTTTGGTTTGAGCAAACTTCTTTCTTAGGGTACATAATATCAAAAAATAGAGTGTCAGTAAACCCCGACAAGATTGATGCAGTGATGGGTTGGAAGCAGTTGACCTCAGTTAAGGAAATTATAAGCTTCTGGTGTATGGCAGGTTGTTATCACAGGTTTATGGAACGATTCTCAAGTAAAGTAGCCCTCCTAACACGACTTACGAAAAAAATGTCAAGTTTGAGTAGAATAAGGAATGTGAAAAAAGCTTTACAGAACTTAAAGAACGATTGACTACTGCTCCAATCTTGGCTCTACTTAATGAAACAGGGGGTTACAATGTATACAGTGACACGTTCTACCAAGGACTGGGTTGGGTTTTGATGCAGCACGAGAAGATCATAACTTATGAGTCCAAGCAGTTAAAAACTCATGAAAATAATTACCTAACCCGCGACTTAGAACTTGCCGGCATTATCCATAGCTTGAAGACTTGATGTCATTACTTATATAGGAAAATATTTAAAATCTATACAGACTATAAGAGTCTAAATATATATTCACCCAGAAGGATCTCAACATGTGTTAGAGGCGTTGGATAGAACTCATCAAGGATTTTGATTGTAAGATCTTGTACGATCCAGGCAAAGGTAATGTGGTAGTTGACGTCCTCAGCAGGAAGAATGCAGGTATGTTATCTCACATAATGGTCTCCAAGACTTGAAAAATGCCACATGTCTAGCCCACTTAATAGTTCAGCCCGAGTTAATCTAGAGAATAAGGGAGGCTCAATTGACCGATCCCACTCTAACAGCTCTCAGAAAGGACACAAAATAAGGTTTGAATTCAGAATTATGAGTCTCTACAGATGGGCTGCTTAGGTTATAGGATAGGTTGTGTATTCCTAGTGATAACGAGTTGAAAAAGATATCATGACATAGGCTCACAGTTTGAAGTTCACCATGCATTTGAGAAATACTAAGATGTATCAAAGCATGCAGTTCTGATTCTGATGGAGTGGGATAAAAAAAAATTGCTGATTTAATCTCTAAAGGCTTTATATGCTAACAGGTTAAGGCAGAGTACCAACGATCAGGCTGACTACTTCAACCGTTACCAATTTTGAAGTGGAAATGAGAATATATCACCATGGAGTTTATAACAAGATTGCCTAAGGCACACTTGGGACACGATACTATCTGGGTGATTGTTGATCGGCTCACTAAGTCTTCCCATTTCTTGGCCATCATAATGACAGATCCCTTAAACAAGGTAGCTAGAATCTATATTCTGGAGATAATCAGACTACATGGAGTTCCGGTGATAGTGGTATTGAACAGGGACCCCAGGTTCATCTCTCGATTTTGGACAAGTTTTCAACAAGCAATGAGGACGAAATTGTTTCTTAGCACAACATTTCACTTCCAGACAGATGGACAAGCAGAGCGAACTAATCGCACACTAGAGAATATGCTCATGGTTTGTGTTCTAGATTTCAGAGGGCACTGAGATGACCATTTACACTAGTAGAGTTCGCTTACAATAATAGTTATCAGGCAAGTATTGGTATGATTTCGTATGAAGCATTATATGACTGACCATATAATGCGGACACCCGAAGGAGAGATTTAAAATTTGAGAAAGGTGATCGAGTGTTCCTTAAGGTCATCTCCTTTAAGGACATCACCAGGTTTGGAAAAAAGGGAACCTCTAGTTCATCGGACCATTTGAAATTTTTGACAGAATGAGGATATCCTCTTACAGACTAGTATTGCCTCAGAACTATTCAGAGTCCATAACGTCTTCCATGTGTCGATGCTACGTAAGTATAACCCTGATCCCTCATATGTTTTGTTCTACAAACCACTTCTATTTCAGGAGGATTTATCTTATGAGTAGGTACCGGTTAGTATTTTAGACCGGAAAAGCAGAGTATGTTACAACAGAAAAATCTCTTTTATCAAATACTATGAAAAAATCACTCGCAGGATGGCCACTTAGGAGTTGGAATAAGACTTCAGGGCTTGATACCCTTAATTGTTTAACTAGGGGACAACAATTTGAGGGACCAAATTTTTTTTAGAGAGAGAGAGTTGTAACATCCCAAACTCGGAATTTAAGCTCGAGATGGCATAAATTAATTTTAAAATTAATAATAATAATATTTAATTTTAATTTTTTTTAGAATTTTTTTGAGATATATGCATTTTGGATACCTTTGAAAATAATTTCAAAAGAAAGTGGCCAAACTGGAAATTAGAGAGGATCTATTTAAAAAGAAAAATTAAAAGCAGGGGCCAAATTGTAAAAAAAAAAAAGCAGCCACGTAGGATAGCCACATCAGCAGCACGGCCTATTGTCGTGCACCGTGTGGCCGACACGCCAGCACGCGGGAAGCTACACAGGCAATCCACGTGCAAAGCAATCCAACGAACCATGTTCACTCCCGCGTGCACGAATGGACCATATCTATTTCTCCATGAGGCGTGATTGGAACGTCCGCACGCCTTTGATCAAACGGCCCATATCCGTTTCCCTATTAGGTGCGATTGGACGGTTAAAGAAGCACAACGCGGACCCAGATGGACGACCCAGATCGAGAGAAGGGGAGTATTTAAACTCCTCTTTCACTGAAACCCTAACCCTAGCCGCACAACTGCTCACCGGAGAATAAGAAGAAGGGCGACCAGAGGAGAAGCTGGCCACCGTCACTGTCACACTGGAGAACCAAATCGACGTCGATAAATGCGATATTCTCCTGTTCATCATGTTTTTCCATTTTAAGCTACTTAAAACACTTCTTGATGCAGGAAAACTCGAGGAAAAGCCTTAAATGGAGGGCTGAGCTCGGTAGAGCCACCGCACCAGAAAGCTAAAACCACCGAAGCTTTGGTTTTCTTTCTTTTCCACCGATAGACACTGCCTAACCCTAAAATGAATAGGTTTTCACACAGAACCAATTGAAACTGGCTTGACTGAGAGGAGGAGATGCCATAGAAGGAGGTATCGACAGCAGAGCACGGCGATGTTGCCGCGCTGAAACCCTAAATTGACCCATGGTGAGAGTTTTTGCACTTTTTGGCCGTTTTTCGTATATTTCCAAGCTATTTTGACGTAAGTTTTGATTTTAATAGAAAATCCTAAAAACTTTAAGAACTGAGAATCGTCGGAAAGCGAAGTGAAAAAGACAGTATTCTGAACACCGACCTAGGGTAAGAATCCATCATCCATCTTTCCTATTACAGTTAAATTAAAGTTAAACTGATAAAAAATAGAAATTTTAGTTAATTGACAGTTCTTTAATTAATTAAGTACAGGTGGCCAATTGAGCAAGTAACCGGTCAGTTTATACTTGTTTGACTTTTAATTAGAGTATTTCTTTCTTCAGTTATTTATTATGCTTATGTCTTCATTACTCTACTCACTTTAATTTATTCGTTTTACATCTATGGCTAACGAGGTAAGGTTTCTTAATCTATGTTGTCCGGTCATCCTATTTTGCGTATAATACGTTTTTGTCGGTATAATGCATGCTTATTTCTCGTACGTACTCAAAAATATAAATTTCATACTCATGTGTCATTTGGAATACTGATATACGTATTCTTCAGGGCTAAATAATAAGTAAAAGAGAGCATATTCATGAATTAATTGTGTCAAATAAAAGGGGTTACCAAGTATCTTGAGAAAGAGTGTACGGACTTGGTGCATAAGGTAAACCCTATTGTGGACGTTATCCTTAGTCAAACAGGGCTGAGAAGTCCCATACCGGAAGAGGTTGGGACCAGACGGGGTATTGAGGCAGTTGTATGTTTTGACGCCCATTACCGAACATGGTATGGGAATGACCGTTTGATTAATAGAATGAAGGTTTAGTCCACGTGTAATGGAGACCGCTATGGACTCCCAAGATATCGGTAGGCAAGTTAATATGATAAAAGTGAATAAGATAGGAACCCAGCTCTGGGGAATAATAAAGGGCTATTTGTTGCGTCTCGTTTGGAATGGGTAATGTAGATTATTATTCTAATTCATATATTTATAAATGGCACTTAACAACTTACAGGTGAGTTAAGAAAATTAACGTTTTCAGTTGAATGAGTTTTATTTAAAAATGAGCTTTATTTGTTGATTTATGATTTTTATAAATTTTTGTTTTCTATATCAGTGGTAAGACGTTGATATTCTTGTTGAGAAAGTATAGCTCACTCCTATATTATTAACCATTTTAGATTATGACGACTAAGACCAGGATCCTGAATAGTAAGAAAACTAACTCGAATGTTACCTTTCCGGTTTTCAATTTCGAGCAGAGATGGATTACATTAGTTTTCTTTATTACTCTTTTTCATTTATGTTCTTTAAGAGCATTTATGTAGCGCTATTGGGCGTTTTAAGTAAACTGAGTAAAGAATGTAACTTTAGACTCTAAAATAAATTTCAGTATTATTTTATTTTGTTATTTTTAGGCTTTTATATCTCTTCTTCTAATCTCAGCCATTCATCTTAGGAAACATGGAGTGCGGATGGTCGTTCGATCGAGTCTATTTGGGATACCAATCTGGGCTGTCCATCCGGATTTGCATGGACGACAGGAGCCGTTCGATCGAAGCTTATTCGAAAAATTGATTTGGGCCGTTCGTGCGTGCGATAATGGACATGGACCATTCGATTACCCTAGCATGCGGCTTGCCCGCGTGACTTCCCATGTGGAGCCTGTGTCAGTGTGTCTTGCGTGACGATTCGTCGTGCCGCTGACTTGGTGTACATGTGGTCCATATTTTCTCTTTTTGCAATTTGACCTCTGTTTTTAAATTTTTCTTTTAAACATATTCTCATTTATTTACAATTTGGCACTGGCTTTTGAAATTCATTTTCAAAGACATCCAAAATGTATATATTCTAAAAAAATAATAATAAATTTTCTCATCCCAAACCTAATTTTCAAACTCGGGATGTTACACATTATTATTACAATGTTTGAATGTTAATTAGTATAAGCTCATTAAATTTATCAAATACATTTCATGGAATTGGACCTAATTATATTTTGATTTTAGAGTAACATCAAGTTCAAATATACCATAAGCTAATAAATGACTGCCCAAATACCTAAACATTTTTTCCAATACCAATGCCAATATATACATGTCATTTATGGAGTATTTCATTTAATTTTAGTTAAAATTTATATTTCATAATGAGAAATTGATTTAGAACAAATATTTAAATCTATTATGACATATCCATAAGGCATATAACATACCTTTTTTTTAAAGATAAAGACCAGCAGAATACATTAATTTTTATATGAAATTATGAGACAATTTCAGTTCTAAAATTTAGAAAAAATTTAGATTTATTCTACAAATGTAGTCTGTGAGATTTTTAAACATCCAAATGAAATTATTTAAATTAAAAATTTGATAATATATAATAAAATAATCACCTGGGTGGATGTCAAATGGAAAGGTTCGAGGCGGTTGCTGGTGTTTTTAGAATGTTCTTCAATCGGTGGAAAATGGTCATGATATTACCAAGGGTCATCTTTGAATTGTCAAAATTTATAGGCTATAAAAATAAGAAAACCGAAATCTATTACATAATTCATCTAGAATTTGGTATAAACAATTTAAAAGAAACAAAAATTAGAAATCACAATCGGGCATATCAATTTCTTCAATTGGCTGACTTTTTTAATTAATAAATGTTCAATTATTGGATTTTTAAAGTATTAGGATTAAAAAATATATTACAATTGTTTGACATGTGACATTCCCACGGTCTTCTAATTTGATAATAGTTTAGATTTCTTCATGAAAAGAACTATGTTTTTAAATATAACAGTTTTAAAGATATATTGTTATATTTATAACTATATTTATTACTTCAAAAACAATAAGTTAATTTTTATTTAATAAAATGTTAATTTTAGTTCAATTGATTGATAAAAATTCATGTTATGAACTATTATATATACTGGCACTTTGAGATAGGAATAGACTTAAGATAGGCATGGGACGAGTATGTTAATTTTTATACCAACTCCACTAATAAAAATATAAATTTATATCTGTCTCATATATGAATCATGTAAAGAAATTTTTATCCACTACGGCTTATCAAGTAAAATCTTTTACCTATTACCTACAATATTTAGCCCTCTTTAATTTTAAAGAATTTTATAAAATATTTAAATAATTTTAATTAAAATTATTAAACTTTAATTAAAATAAAATATAATTTAAAATAATATTTAAATATAATAATCAATAACAACTGTGTTCGAATATAATATTTTCGTACAGCATTGATTAAACATAATTTCTTTCTTTTTTAGCATCTTAATTTATTTTTTTAATGTCATGATTTATTTGTTTTTTTATACATTGATTTACTTCAATCTTTAATAAATATATATTTTAGATAACAAAAAGACTATATCTAATTATTTTAAAAAATTAAATTAATTTTTATTTTCATCAATGATAATGATTTTGTAAATTATTAATTGCAATCATCAAATGAAGAGTAGTGTTCTATCTATTAGAGGAATTAATTAATTATGTATTTTTGTAATTGTTAATAATTTGATTGATAACAAATTGTATAAATTATGTTACCGCAAATTAGGTAATTGATAGAATTAGAATATTTGATTGACCGTTAAATTTTCATCTTGTACATGTATATATACCCCACCTATATTCAATGGAAATCAAACTATTATTTTCAGTTTCATACAGTATCAGATCCACCACGCTCCTGACCTATTTCTTCTCTTCTCTTTTTTTTTCTTTCTCTTTTACAATTCTCCACACTCTTTTTCAACCTTAATAGCTTTCTAAGATATCTCTGCATCTTCCACTCTTGATACCATTATTCAAAATATAACTTTGATAGCTTGAAAATACATTCGAATTAATTTTTTATGTTTGATATATTTAATTTAGCCATTATTTGAATTTTGAAATGTATAATAAGGTTAAAAATGTACTTTTGAGTCAAATGAAAAAAAGATGAATAAGGACGAAGGAGCTAGAATAAGCATAAAAAAATATGAAAAAATGTGAGAACCTTTTAAATGAAGTGGTATAATGAAAAGTGGTAACTTTTACATAAAATGACATAACAAAGAGTGGTAACGTTTAGATAAAGTGACATCACAAAAAGTGATACCTTTTAGATAAAATAACACCATAAAAAGTGATGACTTTTAGATGAAGTGACATGTGAAAAGTGGTAACATTTTAGATAAAGTAACATGTAAAAAGTGGTAACTTTTTAGATAAATCGATATGTGAAAAGTAGTAACCTTTTATATGAAGTGACATAATCAAATGTGACAACTTTTAGATAAAATGACATGATAAAACGATGACAACCTTTCTCTCGTGGCTCCGCACTCCTATAAATAGTGGATGAGAGAAGGGAGGAAGAGACGTTCCAGATGAGAAAAAAATAGTGAGAACCATAGAGGTGAAGGAATACGAAGTTTATGATTTCTGAGAGTATTGTGAGGTTTTAGATAAAAATCTTGGAAAAACTCTACTAAATCTGTGAGAACAGAGGAAGAGGAAGAGAAGAGGAAGAAGGCTCAAAGTCAAAAAGAGGTTATAAACCGTTAGAAAGGTAAATATTTTCTTAAGTTTTGAAGTTTGATTTCTCTCTGATGTTTGAAATTAATTTTTAAGTATTGTGTTGGATATTTTCGAGTCAAGATAAAGACCAAAAAATCGTCCCGAAATTCTGCTGAATTTTTAAAAAGAAAAAATCATAAATAAAGTTAGAACTCTGCTGGAATTAAGATTACGATTGCTAAAGATCTACCGTAAGTGGATATTATGGATT